AATGATTTTGAATCGGCAGCTGTGTATGTGTGGATGTTGGGGTGGATGGGACGGGGGCGGGGGGGGAGAGAGATGTGCAGGTTCTTACCTCTCAAACCTCTGCATGGTGAGCGCCAGTGTTTTGTTGAGCTCCTCAATGATTCGACTTGGTGGGTGAAGCGGAAGCGCCCCGTACTGCAGCGAATGACCTCCCATCGTGATGTGGCTGGGGGGAGCAGGGCACCTCTGGAAGGTAAGCGGTGAGGGCTCCATGCTGCCTGTAGGTACGGTGATCATGAGCTTCTTTGGAGGTAGAGGAGGCGACAGCTTCACTGACATACATGGCAACCTGATCGGAGCCCCATCTGCACCAAGAAGGCCAAGAATCAGACGCGTTCGGTGGAAGGATCTGAGCTTCATCTAAAGATGGACAAATCACCTGTAATGTGGTTTGGTATCCTGGTAAATGGTTTCGGTGGCAGCGCGGGAGGTTGTTTGTGTAGAGTTGGAGGTCTGGAGAGTGTCGATTCGACAGCGTCATCTGAATATACGTTTGACTTCTTTGTGGGCGGAGCTTGGCTGGACCTCTGGTCCTGTTGACTTGTGTTGTCACTGACCATCTGAAACTCCACTGGACCTGAAGTGAAGAACGAAGTGAGAGAGTCACATGTGACAGTCGGCGCTGACACCGTAGCAGATGATGTGGCTCCTTTTCGTACCTACAGCTGCTGCTCCCTCCATCAGCTCGGTACCTTCAGCCTCTGACAGGTCGGAGCCCAGCACTGGAGAACGTCCATTCTCCATTTTCACCTCCTCTCTTAAGGCGGGTGATGTACTTTCTGCAATTAAAAAGAGATAATGATGAACTCTTTTCTAGTTATTTAATCCAGAGTTGTGGATTAAGGGAGATTCCAGGATTCTGACCTTTTTCATACACCTCCTTCAGAACTCCTTTCTTGATAAGTTCTTCTCTGCTCTGGCGAGTAGACATTTTCCTCTCCAGAACTGGGAGAAAAAAAAACTCAAGGTAACGATTCTAAAGGACTCATTATTTTAAGTGTTGAGCACAAAGCCAAAGTAGTTTTTCTGTAAACACCACAGCCAATCTGGTCACTTCTGCTCCGTGTATGTGTCTAATACATACAGTACTTGTGTGTCAAAGCACCGCGCCTCTGTGTATACTGAGGCTCTGATCTGGACATGTGTCCCACTAACAAGCATCACTCCTCTGGCTCCAACCACACAGAAGCTAATTTGCTGTTGGAGCCACAGCACAGCAGATCAGCATTTAGAGCTAATTTGCCGCCACAGTGAATATTAATTATCGACTCTGCTGCAGCCAGTCCGCTGGGTTTGCATCTGTAATTAACTGTAACGTCTGGACTGAGAAAAATCAATAGAAATTATGTTAAGAAAAATTGGTGTAACTTATGAAAAACAGGTAATTAGCTATTTCATCTGCAGTGGTATAATGACGAGTGGGAGGATTAATTATTAACCAGTTATTATCCATACTGTAGAACTGCTCTGTAAGATCACAAATAAAATAGATCAGGTTGTAGTTTTTTAAATTAATTACCCAGTTTTTCAGCTGAACCAATTAAATCATTTTACTCCACCTTTGTCTTTGGTCTTTGGATATTGAAAAAGTGTATAAAAGTGGATGTTGTAGACTAGTTTTTTTTCTAACCTTGGGGTTGTGACCTCACATAGAATCATCTGGGATTGAAATGTCTAGTGATTAATTTCTTTTTAATTACTGATTAAATATAACTTCTTTTTTAAAATTCCGATTAAAAACACCAAACACTTTCAGCACAGTGTAAAAAACACGATCAGAAACTAATTCTACAAAGAGAAAAAAAATGTCTTTGGGGTCGCCAGAAATGTGTGATGCCAAGATAGGGTCACAAAGCAACAAAATGGTTGGGACCCACAGTTTTAGACCACTGGAGTATTTAATCTAATGACAAATCGATCCTCTCATCAATTCTGAAAATACAGTATGGTTAATTAATAACTGAATTTTATCTTAAAGGTCAGACTCCTTGAACCAAGCCTTTGTTATTGTTATTAACCAGCAGTTTCCATTCATTTGATGTTCTCCCTCCTCCCTCACTGAGAGGAGGTGCTCATCAGAGCTGATGCTCAGCA